CCGAGACGGTCCGAGAGCCCCCAATGATCGCTTCAAGATCGCCCAAGAGGCCTCCAGGATGGCCCCAGAACGGCCCAAGAGTCCCCCAAGACGGCCCCCAAAGAGCCCCAAGGCGGCCCAAGCTACCTCCAAGACGCCCAAGTTCCCCCAAGACGGCCCTGGAGCACCCCAAGAGGTCGCCAAGTCGGCCCAGAGAGGCCGTCAAGACTGCTTCCGAAGGCGTCAGACGGGCCAGGAGACCACCAAGATGGCTCTAAGATGGGCCAAGACGGCCCAAGTTGTCTCCAGGCCTCCAGGAAGGCCCAAAGAGGCCCAAATCATTGATTGTCCGACGTTTTTTTGTTGTTCGGTTTTCCGACGGCCCGAGACGGCCGGAGAGCCCCCAAAGATCGCTCCAAGATCGCCCAAGAGGCCTCCAGGAGGCCCCAGAACGGCCCAAGTGGACCTCAAGGCGGCCCCCAAAGGGCCCCAAGACGGCCCGAGAGGCCTCCAAGACGCCCAAGATGGCCTTACAAGACGGCCATGGAGCACCCCAAGAGGGCGCCAAGTCGGCCCAGAGAGGCCGCCAAGACTGCTTCCGAAGGCGTCAGACGGGCCAGGAGACCACCAAGACGGCCCAAGATGACTCTAAGATGGCCCAAGACGGCCCAGGAGGTCTCTGAGAAGGCCTCCAGGAAGGCCCGAAGAGGCCAACATCATTGATTGTCCGAAGGTGTGTGAAGGATGTTGACATTTGTTTCTGTTCTGCCTTCCAACGGCCCGAGACGGCCCGAGAGCCCCCAAATTCGCTACAAGATCGCCCAAGAGGCCTCCAGGATCGCCTCAGAACGGCCCAAGAGGACCTCAAGGCGGCCCCCAAAGGGCCCCAAGGCGGCCCAAGAGGCCTCCAAGGCGCCCAACATGGCCTCCAAGACGGCCCTGGAGCACCTCAAGAGGGCGCCAAGTCGGCCCAGAGAGGCAGCCAAATCAGCTTCCGAAGGCGTCAGACGGGCCAGGAGACCACCAAGATGGCTCTAAGATGGCCCAAGACGGCCCAGGAGGTCTCCACGAAGGCCTCCAGGAAGGCCCGAAGAGGCCAACATCATTGAATGTCCCACAGTTTGTTTAAATATAAATGTTGGCATGTGTTTCGTTTCTGCCTTCCTACGGCCCGAGACGGCTCGAGAGCCCCCAAGGATCGCTCCAAGATCGCCCAAGAGGCCTCCAGGGTGGCCCCAGAACGGCCCAAGAGGACCCCAAGGCGGCCCCCAAAGGGCCCCACGGCGGCCCAAGCTGCCTCCAAGACGCCCAAGATGACCTCCAAGACGGCCCTGGAGCACCCCAAGAGGGCCCCAAGTCGGCCCAGAGAGGCCGCCAAGACGTTTTCCGACGGCGTCAGACGGGCCAGGAGACCAGCGGGCTCGAAACCGGCGAAGACAGACCTCAAATATGATTTCCTGCAGTGTCCGACGGGCCAGGAACACTCTAAGACAGCCAAAAAGGCCCCCAAGAAGCCCCCCAAGAGTTTCCAAGAAACGCAAAAAGCTCACATGACGCCCCACAAGCATCCCAAGAACTTTGCGCGTCTGCTTGCAAGGGCTTGGGCGTGCTAGAACCTAAGCGCGCGCGAACCGCGCGCGTGGTAATAATACATGTTGTACACGTGTATACATGTGTGTACATAACTTTATATACACTATATATACATATATATATGTAAGTGTATATATAAACATGCAGATACACACCTGGGCATCTCGTTGATGTGTCATTATTTTTATCGTCTTCTACATGAATATCTTCATGTACGTATATGTGTATGTGTGTGTCCTCTCTCTCTATACATGGATATATATATATGTATGTGTGCTTGATATGTCTGAGTCTATGTGTATGTATATATATATATACATGTATATAGTGTGCCTATCTCTCTCTCTCTGTATATACGTATGTGCATCGATGTATGCACGTATGAATACATGCATGCATGGTTACCTTATGTGTCTATACATACATATATATATATACTTGCATGTGTGTGTGTCCCTCTCATGTCCACTATCCGTATGTCTATGTCTCTCTTTCTCTCTCTCTCTCTCTGTTTCTCCCTCTCTCCCTGCCAACAAAAGGCATACATACATATATATATATATACAAATATTAGAACCATCGCGCGCACTTTGCGCGCGCTCAACGTCTAGCTTGGTTGGATGGTCGAACTCTTGGGGATCCTAATTCCATGACACGTCTTCCCCGGGGCTTCAAGAATCACGAAGACGGCCCAAGTGGTTTCCAAGTTTTCCTACGGTCCACCCACGACGGCTTAAGTCAGGCCCAAATGGTATTTCGGACGCCTTTTTATTCGCCGCGGCTGGACGTAGCCGGAGGAAGAGGGAGGAGAAGGGGAGGTGAAGGGGGTCCCTGGGGGAGAAGGAGGGATGAGGAGGAGTTGGAGTGGGTGGAGGAGGTCGCAGAGGAGGAGGAACGGGAGGAGGAGGAAGAGGAGGAGGAGGAACTATGATATTTGCTTTTTGTTTGCAAGCGTAGCGAAGCTGGCAGGCGAACTTGAACAAAGAAGAAATACTGGACGTCCCGTTTTTCTCAAGAGCCCTCGGGGTCTCGCTCGAAGTTCTCTTGGGCCCCTTTGGGGCTTCTTGGGGACCTCTTGAAGCCTCCTGGGGGTCTCCTGGGGCGAAGATCTTGGGTTCTCGGTTCACTTTCCCGATCCGTGCCCTCTCGGGCTGTCTTGGACGTCTCGTCGGCGCGTTTGAAGCGAATTGGGCCGTTTGGGTGCGCTTTTGATGCCTATTGGGCCGTCTTGGGGCGATCCTCGGAGCTTCGTGGGGCGTTTTGCAGCGTTGGGCCGTCTGGAGGCCGTCTTGGGTGTCTTGGACCTCTAGTGGCATTCGGCCCATCCCGCCACCTTGCTTGATTTGCGTGTTAGAGGCCTCGCGGAAGTTCGTTTGTAATTCGTGGGAGGCCTCTAGGGGGCCTCTTGAAGGCAGTTTTGGAGGCCTTTTCGGAGCCGTTTGGGGTGCTCTTGGGGCCTCTTTTTGGGCCATTGTGGGGCATCGTGGGGCCTCCAGGGGGCCTCCTGGGCTCTGTTGGGAGCCTCTTGGGGCCTCCTGGGGGCCTCTTGGGGCGGAAGGCTCGAATTGTCGGTTCGTGTTCCCCCCCTGGGCCCCTCTCGGGGCCCTCTTGGGCGCCTCTTGGGGCGCTCTTGGGCCGTCTTGGGACTCTCTTCCACCGTCGCGGCGCCCTCTTTGGGTGCCTCTTGGGCCATCTTGAATTCATTTCTGAGGCCTCGTGGGCTGTCTTGGACCGTCGGAAGCACGAAACAGCGAGAACACGATAAACCTTCAAAAAAACATAGAACAACAACTTGTTGTTTCGCCTCCTGAGGGCCTCGTGGGAATCCTTTTGGGGGCATCTTGGCAGTCTTGAAGCCCTTTTTGGTTGTCTTCAAGCCATGTTGGACCAATTTTGAAACTCTCTTGTGCGGTCTTGGACTCTCTTGGAGCGTTCTTGGGCCATCTTGGCGCCCTCTTGGACGTCTCTCGGGCCCTCTCGTCGCCCCCTTCCCCTCCTTTGACGCGTTCTGGCACCCCCGACGGGTCCAAAGCGGCCGGGGACGAAATCAGTGCACTCCGAGGCCCCCAGGACCCCTCCCTATTTATGTATGTATGTATGTATGTATGTATGTATGTATGTATGTATGTATGTATGTATGTATGTATGTATATATGTAAGTATGTATGTATGTATGTATGTATGTATGTATGTATGTATGTATGTATGTATGTATGTATGTGTATATATATACCACATGCAGAGAGAGAGAGAGAGAGAGAAACAACAGAAGAGGGAGAGAGGAGGAGGAGAGAGAGAGAGAGAGAGATAGATAGTGGCCTTCGGCCCATCCCGCCACCGTGCCTGGGTTGTAGATCTGAGGCCTCTGGGATGCTTGTTGGAATCTCTTTGGAGGTCTCTCCAGAGCCTCTTGTATTTGGTTTTGGGGTGTCTTGGGGGCTTCTTAGAGTCCTGTTTGGCCTCTTCGGGGCCTCCTGGAGCTTGTGGGGGCATCTTGGGGGCCTGCTGGCGGTCTCGGGGGCCATCTTGGGGCGAAGGGCTCAGAATGTCGGTCCGTGTTCCCCATCTGGGACCTCACTTGGGCCCCCTTTGGGGCCCCTTGGGCCGCCTTGGGGCCCAAGACTGGGGGCGCTCGTGGGGTGCTTCATCTGGGGGGCCTCTTGGGCCGTCTTAGAGCGCCGAAAGCTTCAGAAGGCGAGAGAACTATAATCAGTCAAACACTTACAGAAAATCAATGATTACGCCATCTCGGGGCCCAGTTGGGGGGCCTCTTGGAGCCATCTTGGGGCGTTTTGGGAGCCTCTTGGGCCGTCTGTGGGCCATCTTGATTGGGCGTCTTGGAGCGATAGTTGGACGACTCCAGGCCATCTTGGACCGTCTTCTGTCCCTCTTGGGGTCCTCTTGGCCTATCATCGGGGCCTTCAGGCCGTTGGACAACTATTGCGGGCAAGCTTGGGAAAGCGCGGGAGCGCGCGGGACCGCCCGAAGTAATTTCGATAGCGGGCTCTTAGCCCATGCTTCACATTTCATTATTGAGTAGGCATTGCAAAGAATTCTAGAAGCCAGGGTAACCCACTTCGTGCCACAAGGCACGGTGGCGGAAATAGCGCACGGCGAACTACCGCCGCCCTTGCATTTTGTCAACGTTTGTGCGGCCAAACGTTGGGTGAAAGTCTGGCCAAGATACTGGTTGAGGACGAAGCCTCCAAGGAGCCTCCTGGGGGGCCCTGTCAGGACGTTCGGCCCACAAGCCTGGGTGTGGGGAAGGATGAGTGTGAGGGAGAAGGGGGAGAGCAGGGAGTTGAGGGATGGAAAGAGGGGATGAGGGTAGGGGAGTGAGATAGGGAGGGAATCAGAAAAGAGGGGAGGTGGGGCGTACGGGAGGTGCACGCCCCCACGCAGAGAAAATACGGCGTGGCCCCGCGAAGGTTGCGCACCCGTGAACCTCCCCAACATGGTGCCGACGGTCTACGCGCCACCCTCTGTCAGACTGCTGTTATCCCCCCCCCTCGCAGCCCCGTCGACCTCTCGTCCCCCCGCTTCCTTGTTTCTCTCCTCCCCATGAGCCACGCTCGTCTTTTAGTTTCCCATAGCGTTGCCTTGATCTCCCGGTTCCTCTTCCTCCTCATGGCATGGTACGATACGCATGGACAATGGAAAACGGCTACAGTGGGCAAGTCAGTGGAGGAGAAGATGGGCAATACATGTAACATTTGTCGTGCCAAAATCAACCCAGGCCCCGACACGCACAGCGACCTATAGAAACTCGCTGGCCCAACGGGCCAGAGGCGTGCCAAGACTTTTGGCAACTGTTTTACAGTATTTCTGCTTCGCGCGTGCGCGGCGGCCCCTGGGGGTCCCCAGACGAAAAGGACTCGGCCGGCCCGGATCAGAGATGGTTTTCTTTCTGGGCGCCGCCTTTCAGTCCCTCCAGAGCGCTCCAAGAGGGCCCCAAAAAGCCCCCAAGACGGTCCAAGAGGGCTCCCAGTCGTCGAACGATCGGTCCAAGACGCCCAATGTGGTTTTCACAGGTCGCCCAAGACGCCTTTCGAATGCCCCACGAGGCCACCAAGAGCCCTCCCAAGAGGGCCCCCAGAGGCAAAAAGTAATGGATGCCCTTCGGTTTTTCACCCAGAGGCAACAAGTAATGTATGCCCTCCAGTTTTTCAAAGATTTGGGCGTTCTTGCCTTTTCGGTTTACCCTCGCTCCAAGACGGCCCAAGAGGCCCCCAAGATCGCCCCAATACGGCCCAAGACGCCTCCAAGAGGGCCCCAACAGGCCTCGGCCCGAATAGGGCCCGAAGAGAGCCCAAGAGCCTTTCAAGACGTGCCAAGAGGCCGCCAAGAGAGCTCCAAGAGCGAGCCCTGACGAGGCGCCCGAACGGACATTTCAGCTCTCGGTCCCGAAAGGCCCCCAGAAGGTTCCCAAGAAGCCCCCAAGTGGCTCGCAAGAGGCCCCAAGAGGCCCAAGGAGGTCCCAAACATGCCGCCAAGAGGCCCCCGAGAGGCCTCCCAAGAGGTCCCAATCAACCTCCCAAAACAGGCGTCTTGTCCACGATCAGCGTTGGCCCAAAAATGCCCCAAGAAGCAATCGAGAGGCCTCCTCCTCATCCTCATCCTCCCCTCCTTTTCCTCCTCTTCCTCCTCCTTCTCCTCCTCCTCCTCCTCCCTCTCCTCCTCCTCCTCCGCCTCTTCCTGCTCGCTCGCCGCGAGCATCCTTGACGATTCTGGCCAACGCACGCACAACGGTGGGATGGGCTCCAGGCGCTCTTTCATGTGCCCGAGATGCGCCCCAGATGCCCAATATGGCTTCCAAGACGGACCTGGGAGGCCACCAGAAGCTGCCAAGATGACCGAAGATGCCTCCAAGACGGCCGAGGAGGCCTCAAAGACGCTCCAAAAACGCTCAAAAATGCCCCCCAAGAGGGCCCACAGAGACAAAACACAGTGATCGTAATCTTCAATGGTTTTCACGCTGCCGCCTTGTCGAGCATCCGAAGCTCCAAGACGGCCCCAGGGGCCCCAAAACCGCCCCAAGACGGCCCAAGAGGCCCCCAAGAAAGTCCCAAGACATCTCGAGACGGCCCCGAAACGGCCCAAGAGGCGCCTAAGACAGCCCAGGGGAGCCCCAAAACGGCCCCAGGACGGGCCCGAGAGAGGGAATACCAACCAACAGTCCGAGCTTCGCGCCCGAAAAAGGCCCCCAGGCGCGCAATATGGGCCGGCGGAGTGAGCGAAACGATAATTAAGAGTTCACACAGTGTGCCCACGCACTTGCTTCAAAACGGCGGCACCGACGCTCACAGCACAAACAATATAACAACGCAAGTTTGTTCGTCAGGTTCCCACCACCCTTTGTGACGACAAGCAGGTACCTCTACCAGGACAGTCTCAACAAGATCAGCCCGCTTTCAGACTCGAGCACCTTGATGTTCTGCAGCAGGGACATGTTTCCACGCTCCGACTACGGTTCCCTTCTCGGCGCTCTTGGCTTCCAGTTCGTGGATGCGGCCCGACATATCATGAGCATGCCGAGGTGCATCGACCAGGCCAGCAACATCATATGACGGTGTTTCTGGCTCCTGCTCGGCCTTCCGCCCCCCAGCATCCAGCGTCCAATTTTCCATGTCCACCTCCGGCGGTCGACCTCCAACCGCCATCGACTCAGCACTTCACCCCCCCCCCCCCAACTCCAGCATGACACTTTCCACTTCCACCTCCGCCCATGAATATCCGACCTCCGCCGGCTCAGCATTTCGACCTCCAGCCTCCAGCATCCGATTCTCCTCGCCCTTTTCTACCCATTGACCCCCAGCCCCACCAGCGCAGCATTGCGGGGGTCTGTCCGCGAGTGGCGACGAAAGAAGCACAGGGTTCCACGCGACCGCTGCCACAAGTCCACTGGGCACGTCTTGCACGTAGAATCCGCGTGCAATCCCTGGCAGACCAAGTGTTTGGCACGTCCATCTGCAAAGTCCCTGCGAACTTCGATGCGTTCTAATGGCTGTTGTTGAATGTCGATGGAAGGTATTCAGTGTATGTGCGCGTGATTGTGCGCGGATGTGCTCATGTGCGTTGTAGGCTGGTATGTGCGCGAGTTTATGCGCGCGCGTGTGAAATATACACGCGCGCGATCGCGCGGGTGGTTTCGCTTTTTGCACATTTCAGCTGGGGAATGCCGCGCGTAGTAATCGGGAGAGAAAAAAACAAACATTTCAAATGGAGCGACATCCCCCTCGACAAGAGTAGGCCAGAAGGGCCAAGATGACCAAGTAGGACCAAACGCGCCGAAAGGACCAAGAGGACCAGAGGGACCAAAAGGACCAAAAGGACGAGACATGACCAACAATTACCAACAGGACGCAAAACTAACGGCAAAGAGGGCCATGAATACGAAAATGACCAAAAAGACCATGCGTCGCCACATGGATCTGAATCGCCATGCATCGACCCGCGTCGCCCAGCGCCCACCCCGCGTCGCCCCGGCCACGCATCAGACCAGGCAGTCCGAATCCGAACGCAATTCACAGAATTCCAAAAACAAGCAACAGTAAATTCATTTAGAAATCAAGCACACCTCTTAATTGGGTAAATATCATGTTGAATTGATCTTCAATTTCAGCGGACATTCAACATATTGGCTGGACGTGGCTGGACTTGGCCGCGGGTCAGACCATTATTCTGATCTTCCCGGTACTTTTGGTCCTTGGGGTCCGTCTGGCCTCTCGGCCGTTTTGGTTTGTTTCGTTTGTGGTTGCCCCCTTTGGTCCTGTGGGTCCTTTTCGTCCTTCTGGTCCTTCCCGGCCCTTCAGGTCCTGTAGGTATTTTAATCCAGTTGGTCTTTTCGGTTCGTTTTGTCTTTTCTCGTTGGTACGTTTGCTCGTTGCGGTCCTTCTGGCGGGTTTGGCCATCTTGTTATCTTGTTTTCGCTGGCCCATTTGGTATTTTAAGTTCTCGTGGTGCGTTGGGCCTTTTCGCCCTTGCCTGGCCCTTCTTTCGCCCTCTTGGCCTTTTCGCCTTTTGCCCGGCGCTTGCGGCCCCGATCGATTCTCGCCGCCAGGGGCGCGCGCGCCGCGTGCGTCTGCGCCCGCGCGGCGCGTCGCATCGCGCGCGCAAAACGCCTCTCGGCGCGCGCGGTCGGCACTTCGCGCCCGCGCGCGCAGTCGCGGCGCGGGCGGGGGCGCGACGCGAGCGGGGCCCCCTCGCGCGAGTTGCGCGTCGCCGCCGAATTGGCTCGCGCAGGAGTCGCGGCGCGGGGCTCGGCCACAACGCGCGCGCGGCCGCGCTTCGCCCCGCCCGGGCCCGAGGCGGCGCGCGAGCTTCGGCCGCGGATCGCTGCGCGCGCGGGCGGTGGGCGCGCGCCCTCCCCTCCTCGGCGGACACCCCCATCGCGGGCCCACGCGCGGCCGGGGCTCTGCGATGGCCGCGGGCGGCCCTCGTCGCGTTCAAGGGGGGGCGCGCGTTCTCTTCCCGGGCCCGCGCGCGGCCGGGCCGCTCGCCCGCGCGCGGCCAGGGCTCGGGGTCGGCCCGCGGGCAGCCCTGTCGCCGCGCTCATAGGCAGGCGCGCGCGCCCCCGTCTCCGGGCCCCGCGCGCAGCCAGGGCATTCGTTTGGAGGGGGGCGCGTCTCATCGGGGGCCGCGCCTGGCCGAGTCTCCGCGGCGGCCCGCGGGTGACCCTTTGTCGCGTTCAAAGGGGCGCGCGCCTTCTCCTCTTGGGCTCGCGCGCGACCGGGGGCTGCGGCGGCCCGCGAGTGGATTGGCCTAGGCCGTCGTTCGGCGATTCATATTATTCGCTTTGCGCGCGCTGAGGCTCGCGCGGGCGCGGGCCGACCGTCGCGCCCGGCCGCGAACGGGCGCCGTTGCATCGCGCGGCGGCGCAGGCGCGGTGCGCGCGTAGCGGTCGAGCGCTGGCAGCAAGGTCCGCGCTCGCATCAGCGCTGGCCTCAACGCTACGGCCGCTTCAGCGACGCAGCGGCGCGGCAGCAGGCCATCGCGGCAGACGGGGCGATCGACTTTGAGAATGCTTTTTCGGCGCTTTTCTCGCGGCGATGGAGCCCGCGCTCGAGGGGCGGGCGGTCGGGGCCGTCGGCGACCTCAAGTCGAACGACATGTCTCCAGCCGATGACTTGGCCGGGGCGCGCGCGGAGGCGGGGCCGCGAGCGCGACGCGCTGAGTCGCGGCCGCAAGCGCCGCGCGCGGGAGATCACATCGGGCGGCGCCACTTCTGGCGGACAGAGAGCGCCCGTCAGCCGGGCGATCGCCGCAGCGGCTTGGCGAAGGGGGTGCCCGGGGGCGGGGCAAGCGGCGGGCGCGGGCGAAGACGGGCGCCAACTGTCGCCCGCGCCCCTCGCGGTCCTCGAGAAGGACGAGACGCCGGCGTTTCGTGGATTTGCGCCACTTCATGCCGCAGAGTCGCGCGCGCGAAGGCGGCGGAGAGGCGCCCGCCGCTGCTCAGACGGCGCGGTC